TTAACTTATCTTCTCTTCATTTCTTTCTTAGATTCTTATTCTTCCTTCTATTTTTCTTCTCCTTATCTTCGTTTTCCATTTCCTTTTATCCCCTGTTTTTCCCCTCTATCTTTCTCTTTCTTCCTTCCTTCAAGTCTACTTTAGTTATGAAAACGTTAACTAACAACATAGTATTCCTATGCCTTTATTCTTTTTCCAACAATAAGTTTTCTTGACAACATTTTCCTTTCAAGATCCAATATAGATATTCCTGGTAAAAAGCAACAGAGAGATTAAGTTTGAGTTAAAAGTTCGTTGTCRTGCAGGCATTTAACGGCGGCGGCGTCCAGACTTTCCTCTTGACTTTGGTCGCGCTTTGGAAACTCTTCTCTTGGTAGGAGTCCTGCGCCTCGTTTTTGATCGCTTGGTAAACGCTTTCGATTTTCTGGGCTTTGTTCCAGCTCTTGGTTTCCTTGCCTTCCTTCCCTTTCGGCGTCTTGATTTGGCCTTGGATTTTTTGGTGATTCTCTTGACCGAAGCCTTGCGCGCTCTTCTTCCTCTTCCTTTCTTGGCAGTCTTTCTTCCCTTGCGCTTTGCTGACCTTCGTCGTCTTTTAGTCGGTCGTTTAGCAGCAGCTGCTATTGGAACTTTAAAAAAAGTACCACGCTTGATTAGCGCACCGGTCTTGACTCCTCGAGAAATAGCAACTTTGACAGCCAACGCTGAAGACGCGCGGATGTTGGAGTTGTTCTGGAGATACTTGAAGATCTCCTTGTAGTTTGATCCCGCACGACTTCCAAGGGCTTCAACTGCTTTCACAATCATGTCGGTCGTCACAGCAACCTTTCTTGCCCTCTTTGCACTTCCCTTTCTGGATTTTGCTCGGGCCATTTTCGAATTCTTTCAAAAAATTTGTTGGATAGTCTTGTCTCGAGTGTGGTCAGATTAAAATGATTTCCGCGCAAATTGTTTCTAATTAAATAAACGTCATCGCGCGCGATTATGACGTCATAATTAGCTGTCAATCATTCTAATTAATTCCCTTATTTGGTGCGATAGTAGTTTAATTATAAATAATTAATCACTGGCTGTTCCAAAGTCGGAGTAAAATCGGTTTCGGCTATTATTACTCTGCGAGACTATCTTTCAGTCTCCCTCATTTGATATATTGGGCTACCTGTGTATTTATTGCATCGTCAAATAAACGGCTGTCATTTCGTCTTATTCAAGTCTTTCCCGGCTTTTCCCCTTTCCCATTCCCGTTCATTCCTTCAATTCCCAGCACTTCCCTTTCCTCCTTTTTCTTATTCATCTCTTGCCTATGTTTCCTAATTCTTTTACTTTCTTTTTTCTACCATATTTATTCTTCATTACACATACAAGTACAGACGCAAATATTATTTATAATCTTT